GGATGGGAACTAATGATCACTTTCTCGAGGACGTAGAGGTCGACGGCTCGGTCTTCGGCTGATGTGGAGAACGAAGACAATCCGAAGTCTATAGGAATCAATAGGTTCTTCTTAGAGTTGATCATGAAGTTAGATGTGGTTAAGTCTCCATGAATGACACCACAATTGTGTATCCGAGCGATGGTTTGTCCCAAAGCCACCAACAACTCATCGATGGTCTCATCTGTTTGTCCATCACTCAGATATTGGCAGACATTCACCGAGTCTTCAATTCTGGTCATAATTATGTTGTTTTGGTCGACAAACAGAATGGACGGCAGGAGTGGACCTAATTCTGGTGACTTGTCCTTAATCTTGGCGATGGCGCGCACTTCAGCCCTAATCCTCTCTTTAGTGATTTTGGTGTTTAATTCAGTGATCCTATAGTTCTTGACGAACCTCTCCTTCTTGACCACAGATAAGCCATTATAAGAGCCCAACCAAAGCCGACACTCAGCGCCACGGAATCCAATCGTCCACTCGTTGCCATCGGTGTGACCGTTCTTATCGGTGGTACCGGTGCTGCCGGTGCTATCGGTGGTACCGGTGCTGCCGGTGCTATCGGTGCTACCGGTGCTGCCGGCCCTCTCATCACCCATTGTCTCACTTATTATAGCTAATTGTGTTTCACTTGAAAACTACTTCACATTCAGACTGTTTGACAGACAATCAAAACAGACATCCATTCAAAACCAATTCAAATAACACTTATGTAATGCTGTCGAAGAAACAGTACTTTTATATAATAAACAGTCGGCTGTTTAGACACTAAACTGTAGAGACAAAAGGGTCTGAAGTGAGAACACGTGCTTTTATTTACAAAGTGTTTGAATTGTTTGGCAAACGTTGGGTCACTCAGTGATCACAGTCTGTGAGTGACATTGCAATGAGTGGTCCATCGGAACAGATGGCCAAAGAAGTAATGGCAATGAATGTGGAGTACTCTTTGGCCCCGTTCTGCAATTGGTTCCTCCCGTCGTGTCTGGACATGTGGTCCTCAGGTGATGGCCATCGGGTGTTGTGTTCATACGGCGCCCGGTCTATGGTTTGTCTGTTCAGTCTCACGGACTCCAAAGCCATCCGAAGTCACGATTGTCTCAATGTCTTCAACACCAATAAGTCGATCATTTCGTGCAATAAGTTCAACAGAAATGCGCGAAAGCCTTACCTCTTCATCGGTTCCAACGAAGGCGAGGCCGCGCTTCTCGACTGCGATACCAATGAATTGATTTACCCGAAGATAGAGTTAAATGATTTGAATTTACCGTCGAAGAAGATACTGTCGGCCGACTGGTCGCATGTCAACGACAACTCTGTTGTCTATTATTGCATCCATTCTGTTATTATCAGTTGGAATACCACCACACAGACCACCAGTAGATTAATGATTGGTGACAATTACCACAACACAATTGCCATCTCTTGCATCGTATCGACCAGTTGTGGTCAACAGAAGTTAGCCATCGGGTCAGTCATCCATGTCTTGTGATTTGATGATATACTCATTACTTGCTTATTCTTCCAGATATATGAATGGAGACATAATTATCGTATACTTGAATGGTATGTCTTCACAGCTCATAGAGGAGACTCTTAGCGGTCATAACGATGACATCTGTTCCCTATCGTTCGGGTGGTCTAAAGGCCAATACGAAGAGGGAATCTTAGGGTCAATATCTCGCGATGGGTTCGTCAAAGTGTGGGATGTGTTCAACAAGAATAACATCGCAGACATTAAATTGGATGCAAACAAAGCTAAGAATAAGAACTGGTTCTCACTGGCGGTCATCCCTAACAGCGGTTCCAATAAGTTTGAAATACTGATCGGTTCCGGAGGGGGAGATTTGCTTTGCATTGAAATCCCAAACAAACCCCCGGACAGCAAAATACGTGTCCATAAACCCATGAGTTTCTATAAAAACAAATCTTCGTCTCATTCTTCAGTAGTGTTTAGCATCGCTGTTGACATGAAGACAATGCTGGCGCTCACCTCTTCTCTTGACCACCAAATACTTGTATGGGATCTGAAAGAGCGGCGAACTGTTTCGTGTTTGAATACATTTAGTTATGGAGTGCACGACATCTCGGTGTCACCCATTGATCCCATGCGAGTGGCCATTGGTATTGGCGAAGGCTTTCATGTCATCAAATTTGATGACCAATTGAATGCTGGAAACCAACGGAGATTTTCGCCACCATTTAAGTCGAAAGATACGAAGACTTTAGCCATTGTATGGCACCCGGAATATGAGAATCGTTTGGCATACGGCACGTCCAATGGAGATATCATGGTTCTGGACGTGAATTCAAATCAGAAAAGTCCGCGATATGTCACTAAAAAGCCACTCAAAGACAGCACTAAAATCTATTGTCTTGTTTGGGGGCCATCTCTGGAAGGAAGCGATGAATCGACGCTCTATTGTGTCCATCAAAGCGGGAAAATGTATTTGCATTACATCTCCAGTAATAGGATAATTGAATTCACGGATTACGTGAATGAAGAGATTAAACGAACGGAACTGATGTGGAAAACAAATTATAAACACTTAAGTATTGGTAACGATAACGGATCCGTTGATGTATTTGAATTAGAAAATAACAAATTAGAGTTAAAACTGAGGATATATTCATTCAAGAGAGCGATTCTCTGTATTAAATGGAATTCAAACAAAGACGAAGAGACGTCCAACTGGTTGGCCATCAGTTCATACGATAATAACATACATTGCTATTCACTGCATAACTATTTAAATTGTGTAGACATTGAAACCGACAAGACTTCTGTTCCCAATGTCTCAAAACCCAATTATCTATTGAAAGGACATTCCGATAGGATTTCATCGATGAGTTGGTGTCCATTCGATGCAAACAAATTGGTTTCCGTGTCCTATGATAAGAGTGCCCTCATATGGGATGTGTTGAGAGAGACGCCATTAATGAGATTCAATGGTCACCGAGGAATACTCTATTCAGTGGTTTGGAGTGCTTTCGATGAGGACCTCATTTACAGTGGCGGCGAAGATAATTATTTCCACGCGTGGCGTCCCTCTAAACAAGTGACTGCTTTTAACCAAAGATTGTCTCCCAAAGGAGACAATGAATGGCCGCATCTTGAAGTACGCGAAGCTGTTAAAGAAAGCAACGGAAGTAATGAGAAGTGTGTGGAGACTGTGTTGAAAGAGTGTGTAAATCGAGTGGTTTATGAAGCGAATGGAGTGAATGGCGGCAAAGGAGGACACAAACCAAAGAAGAAGAAAGTGAATAAAGAACTGAAGAAATGTTCGATATTTCCATTGAGTAATTGTATTGAAAACAGTTCCACTAAATTCCAGAAACTAGAGGACATCGAAGCCCTGTTCAACAAAACTCAAGGAAATGACATATCAGATGAAAATGGAGAGAGGATTCTGTTGTACGGCAGTTGCGATGATATTAAAGAGTTTGTCAGAAGTGAGGCCTCGAATCATGTAAATCATGGAAACGATGAACAGAGAGATATTGTAAACCTGTTCTTCGATATTAAGTCTGCAATTGAAGAGTCGATCGAAAGAAAGGAAACGAACCCTTATTTGGTATCGCTTTCGATATACTCCTCAAGAAATCACTGGAAAGAGTCGTGTGAACTAATGGCAAAGCATTTACTCGATTCAGAGTTTGAGATGCAATCGTATAAAATGTATAGCATTGAGATGTCGGCCATTCTCCTGGTTTCCCAAAACCATGTGAGAGAAGCCATTGATTTGTTGTTATCCAACCATTTATTCCGCGAGGCATTGATTGTCACGAAAACCAGGTATGAGAGCGAAGAAGTGGTTCGACATGTTATGACTCAATGGGCGACATATCGTAAGAATAGCGGCGACTTTGAAGGGGCGGCCAAATGCCTGACAGCTGTCGGTATGTTTTCAGAGGCCGCAGATCTGCTCGAGACTAGGAATGACCAGCAGTTCAATCACACCATTTGCTTGTTAAAGTCTGTCAACAAGTAAATGCTTAAAACATGTCTTATTTGATATTTCATTTAATTCGAGTTATATATAAAAATTAATAATGTATTCAAAATAAAAAATAAAATTATGTTTTAAGTACTGTATTACAATGTCATGGCCATAGTCCTGTCCCTGTCATTCACCCCAATATATTGTCTAAATTGGGGTAATGCCTTAACAAGGTCGTAAACAAGTGAATAGTTTTTAAGTAGATATTTTGTTTGTTGCTTAAATCAAACACTTGAGCAGTTTAGGGAAACTATTTGTGTTTTAAAGTGATGATCCGCTAAACAAATAAAAACTTCACACAAATCTGTGAAAATTATGTTATTTGTACACAAACTCGATTGTCAGCCTTATATAACCTGACATTCAAATTATTAAGTCATTTGCGATAATATTCTCGATATGTATTGTCTATCAGTTTTATGTTTCATATTCGTTATAAAGAGCACTGGAGGCCAGTTATTCCGACCCGGATTAGAGCCCCAGAGCAGTGAGTTTTCAATGTTTTCTCATTTTGCAAATAAAGCTTTAATTTGAGGAATTTTTAATATAATTAAAATATAGTTATAAATTCATTCCTAACGCCTGTACTCTACAACGTGAGGAGTGAATGTGTGGCCACCGCTGACAACAGAATCGGCTTATGTATGCCAAAGGCTGCCTGTATTAGGTAGGGTATGATTTTGTGCTCTTATATTGAGACAATTATAATTGATTGAAAAATTCATAAAATAAAGTTCTGGTGGATATGTGGCCAATACATGCAATTTTGTGCTCTCGTGTTGTGTCTGTAAGCAAATTCTTGAAATGAGTTCATATCATATATATCTTGAGCTATCGATTGTGCCGTTGAAATGCAGATCAGGGGACGTGTCGATCAGTAATCACAGCCAACGAGACATACTTCGTGTCCCCGCAATACCCTATGCTTCACAGCGAGCGTCTCGACCCTCCGTATTGTATATTCACATTACAGCGAAACCCACTGATCATCAAATGGCCCGTCTGTCAGGTGAGGCTCGACTTCGATGAGTTCAGTCTCGCGCCGCCAATCAACGGCACCTGTAATAACGGAGTCACCGATTCATTCATTGTCTCCGGTGCCACTAATTTCAATCAGTCAGGACTTCCAGGTGAAGGACTTTGTGGAGAGCTAACGGGTCAGCACAGTATGTAATCGTAAGGATATCTGTTTATTGCAAACGTTAATGAATTTACTATAATTCAGTCTATTTGGATGTGGATCCCAAGACCACCGAAGACCCGCTTCTGTTAATTGTAAATACGGCTAATGAACAGATGTATAACCGGAAGTGGAGTATTCGAGTGCAACAGATCCCATGTCAGTCACCCTTCAGAGGTATTTATAGAGTAAACAATTCTCTATAAAACAAATATTGAATTTATTCTTAATATGACAGCGCCTTCCGGTTCTCTGCAATACTACACGACCCCAACCGGGACTATTGAAAGTCTTAATTTTAGAGGTATAGGCAAAGCCACCCCAATTTTATTACCCGGACAAGTATTCGCTCCGTTGGCATTCCCCGGTGCCTTCCAACAGTTCAATCTATTTCCGTCCCCAAACTATTACAATAACATGAATTATGGCATAAGTATCGCAAAAGCACCAAAAATGTGTGGAATCAAGTGGACGGCTATGACCATGGATTTTGGCGGTAGAAATAGAGACATTTCCGGCACTGAACTCAATTGTGTCCGACAGGACATCATTGAAGACATCGGAGACTATCTCACAATACCCGCCAGTTCTCTGAACGGCAAGAATCTACTCGTTAACAGATATTGCGGCCAACGATTGAGCCCTCAATTGGCCCCTCAAGGCTCGGGTATCAATGAGGATGTCGTTTGTATGTATTATTAAAGTTTTCAACGAAAATAATTTTAACACAAAATTATTGTTACATTTTAAAGCCTATATGAAGCCCTTCCAACTGCTGGTACACTCGGATAGTAGGCCTCAGAATCCTGAAGTGGCCACACCTGACATCTTAACTGAACAAAAAGGATTTCAATTACGTTATGAACAAATCCCATGTTAGCCATCGGTTTGGTTGTATTGATTAAGAGTTTATTAAAAATTTTATATTCATATAAACCGATTGCACAAAACAATATTAATTTATTAAAAGTAGACATTGGATTTATATATCAAGAATATTATACTGTACTTTGTATTACAAAATTATAAAACATGATTTTAAACATGGATTAAATTAAATTATTAAATAGTTTAACTATTATGACTCATATTGTTTAAAAATAAATTAATGTCAATGTTTTTCCCATTAGTTTCATATACTTTAAATTTTTTGTTTTTAAATTATTTAAATAGAGAATAATTGATCAATAAATCGATTGGAAACGTGCTATGAATTGAATAATAATCACTATAACGACGAGCTCTAAATCAAAACATAACTTTTATGCACAATATCTTAATTATAAATGAAAATATTTGAATAAAACAAAGGAATCTGTTGTATATTTAACTAAAAGTGAGCGATAATGTCGAGGGAAGCCTTTCCAGTGCTATACTTCAATCTCGGAGGAGAAATGATTTATATCGTAGAGCAGAGACTGACCGCTCAGAGTATAGACACTTCCAAAGCTGATAAGGGTTTGTATGCTTTTGTCTGTACGAGTGAATCAAACAGAATAACTCTTTTTGTCAAAAATGTTTAGTGATTATCGATATCTTCAATGCCATGTTTAATCCGGGTTTGATTAGCGAAGTATTCAAAAAGCAACAGCTCTTAAGCGTATATGCGATGAGACAAATGTTTGAGAAGTTGGCTCATTCTTCCATTATGAAACTCAATGACCAGTCTATGAACAAGGTAATTGAGTCACTCAATTGAATCACTGTATTATAGTATAGTGACCCTAATGTTTAGCCAACATTGGTTAACAGTAATAAAATGTAATCAAATTACTGCTTTTATAAAACAGTTATTTGATTTGATGGTAATGGTCACCAAATACCAGATAGTATTCTGCAATACACCACTCGATTTAATTCATATAACTCTAAACCATTTGGAATCCATGTCCCGAATGGCAAGACTTGACAATACTCTCAAACTCATTGAGAGTTCCAAAGAAAAGTTTATAAACTATTATTTAGACATGAATTGGACTAAACTTCAACACATTCGCCACACAATTCTCACATTCTTACAGGACATCCAGACAAGGGTTTCCATATTTCTTAGAGATGGCACACAAGAAAATGACGGAAAGTTTGTTATTAAGCCCGAAGGAGTTGTGTCGTGTGATTGTCAGATGCCGGGTGTTATCAAATACTTCAACCAAAACAATGAAGTCATAGAAGTGGACAATTTTGACCCTTTAGGTCAATATGTGGTCTCCACTGATAAGACATTTTTAGGACTTAATATGTAAATTGAATTAAATTTAATATTTGTCTTCAGGAACTAATTCTTGTTCTACCCTCAGATACACTAAAGAATATTCTCAGAATACTAAAGACTTGTCTGAAAAGCAGTCTAAAAGTATGGACCAAAATGACGATCAAATGTCTCATTTACGCGAAACTAATGATTCAGCAAAACATGAATTGGATTTATTGGCAAAACTTATTGGCAGAGAAAAGCCAAATGAAACAGAAATTGAGTTTTGGCTAAATCTGGGACACGAAGAGCCCACACATGAGAAGACACGCGAGAATACAATCTCTCATTTGAATGAACTGAATATTAGTGAAGGAATACATAAGACTAAGAACTTAGAGAGTATTATCAATGATCTGGATATCAATGTTAACGATCAAAATAACTGCTCGGATAATGATTTCCTATCTCTAATGGATTCATAAGAATCGATAACTAAATAAAAATTTTAATTAATGTGTGAATCAATTATTTTATTATGTATTATGTTGTCTGCTTTGTATCCAATTTTTCAAAACAATAAATATTAATGAGTATAATGAACAATGCAATAATATTATATTAATAAAGAACCTTGCACCACCTAACACTATGAATACCTCTACTTATTCTTGTCTATCAGAATCATACAGTATTTGCATTTGAATATCATTTTGTCTCAAAAGTTATTAAAAAGATATTGTGTATTACAGTCACAATCAGATGAAACTGTTGTCGGACTCAGACATCAAGTGACAATAACTGGTGACATACCATAAGTTGATCTGTGAGTTGGAACTGATAATCACCGGACACTCACATCAAAGACATGGGAAGTCTTTGGAAGAATTGATGAATAATTGAATGCTTTGATTGCCATCTGTTAGGCCGTGATTGCACTCAACATATCATAGCATTTATGTCATCAGTGAGTGAAACGATAACCATCTGAAGACACACCAGAGACCAAGTGATGGACAAATTGCGTCGGGCTTTGAGTGGAGACGAGTCTGTCAGCGGTGACGATGAAGAACAGGGATTCGCCGCTCAGGTAGTGATCATATTATCACCATTAAAGTGGTGTCCATTTGACACAACACTTGAGGATCTGTTGACACCTGTTGATCACTTGATGACCACTCAATCACTTATCAAGTATTTTGTTATAAATGGATGCTTTGATTGCAGATAAACTCTGCCACAACCCTCAGTTGGTCCACTCGTATCCAAGGGTTTGCCGTTTGTTTTGTGTTGGGGTTTGTCTTCTCTATCTTGGGATCGGCTTTAATAGCGTTACCGAAAGGCTTACTATTGTTTGCCATGTTTTATACCATCGGTAACTTGACATCAATGGCCAGGTATGTCATCCCTGTCACTATCTTACGACATGTTGATTGTGTCACTTAATATGAGATGTACTGATCCGATGACTATCTTCAGCACAATGTTCTTAATGGGACCCTTCCGTCAGCTCAAGAAGATGTTTAACGAGACGCGAGTGTTGGCCACTATCGGGGTCTTTGTGTTCATGATTTTAACCCTTTTATCTGCCCTTTGGTGGAAGAGAGCTCTTCTAGCCGTCATCTTCTGTATCCTTCAGTTCCTGGCATTCATTTGGTTAGTATTCATAGCAAACACTTCTCTCCACTCTTGGAATCAATTGTTTCTCATGATTTTCATTGCATTGGTTTCATGTGATTGTCTCACATTACAGGTACTCCTTGTCATACATCCCTTACGCCAGAGATATGGTGCGCAAAACCATCACCTCTTGTGTTTGAATATCATTTATATTCAAAGCAATCGTTTATTTGAATACTTTTGTGCCTTAAATATGACACAAAAACGCTATTATAATAAATATAGATTTTTAAACTAAACATATGATTGGATTTTAGTTAATCAAATCTGTTTCATACGGAATCTCACAACAGTTATCATTTATGATTAACTTATTATAATTCAAAATTAGCTTACCGGTATATTTGAACGTTACGTGTTACCGTATTACAATATTTTAATACTTTGCAAAGAATTTACTCAAATTCTGGCTAAATTTTTGATAATACTTTTTAATGTATACAACAGTACTTAATGATAACTTTTCTATAAAATTATTTATTCTTGTAATTAAATATATATGTTATTAATTATTATAATAAATATTACAAACAATTAAATTGTGATAAGTAGTGTACAACAACCTGATTATTTAATCACAATATTTAAAATATGTTAAAATAAAAATTCAATAAAAGTTAAATTATCGATAAATTAATTATTGTGCCTTTAGTAAATGAAAATTAACCAAGGTGTATTAATTAGAACAAATGCATTCATTATTAGCATTGCATCGCCCATTCATTGCTCCCATTTGTCGACATATCTGCGAACATACCATGAGTTGGAGGACTTCCCGGAGTCCTGCCTTCGGTATCTTATTGACCAAACGACACAAGTTTTGGAAATAACCTAAACATCAGTTGTATTATTAGACTTATACTACAAAACTCATACAATTAATAACCGATTGGGTTGGGAGAGGGGACACCCGATGGCAAAGTGGGTGTAATAGTGGTTGTGGGCGATGACACATCTTGTAAGGCATCTAAACACATCTCATTGACACTCAATACGATTATAACACTCAATATAATGGACACGAATTTCATTTTAGAAAACTTTTTGAAATATTTTTAGAAAAGTTCTTAAGTTTTGAACAAATAATGAATTTATTGTTTAATCTGTTTTCACTGACTTTTATACTTTTATTTGACTTCATTTGTGACTTATTTGTCACAAATTGTATATAAAAATAAAAGAATTTTTATGGGAATTTATTATTAATGTTAAATTTGTTTATTAACTTATTCAAATTGTTTATCTCATAAATAGACCAAATCTTATAACATATTAATTGAGTTGATATCTAAACAACCAAACCTATAATATGAGCAAGTATGTATTACAAATGCATCATTTCATTCGTCCTCAATATTCATATTTTGTTTTCACAGTTAACCACAAATTAAATATATAAATAATATAAAAGAATAAATAATATAATAAATTATTTAAAATTATTACACAAATAAGTTTAATTTAATAATTAATAAATAAAAACAGGAAAAATTTCTGATATTTAATAAAAGTGACAAGTTAATAAATTCGATTGAAACTGTAACTGTGTTTTTCAAAAAAAAAATTAAATCAACTAGGTTAAAATAGTTTTGACTTAAATTAATCATAAAATTGGCACAAATACAATAAACCTCTAATTCTGGAAATCAATATTTCCGATGCAATTAAATTGTCACTTAATTACATGAATCTTATTGTTTGACACCTTTACTGACAAATAAAATACATAAGAAGTATTGATTTTCAATTATTGAAGGTTTGTTGTACTAGATAAGTTTTGACAAATGATTTTTAAAATTGTAAAAATCATTCGAATCCTGTAGAGAACCCTGACACATTCATCCATGGCTAAGATAAACAAGTCTAAATATGTCAAATTTTGACTTTTATAAAAATTAGTTTTCTAGGAATGACCTTGCGCATCATTTCCAAAAATCATAACTTGATTATCATTTATAGTTGTTGTGATCTCGATGATCCTGTCCAATATCAGTCCATTTTGAGCAGGGACCAGTGAGTTATATCAGCATGTTGGTTCCAAAAACCATGTTTCTCATAAAATTTTAATTGATCTAGGTCAACGATAACCCAGTCAAAATATTAGAAAACGTGTGTAATATTGGCAAAGCTTTTATAAATGTAACTATAGTTTACTGTATTGTCATTTTAATTTGCCTTGGCACGGTTTTGTAATTGAACTCAGTTACCATGTTAGATTTTTATACTATATTAGAGATCATTAGGATTATATAATCCCTTTTGGATATTTCATTCTAATACGATCAAGATAGTTTTCCAGTTATATTATAGTATAGACGCACTAAATATTGCAATGCCTAAGACACCAATTCCTCCACAATTGCCAGTAAAACTAAATGGTGTCACAAATTGATTGAAATATTATTTTATTTGCAATTAATTGACTCAAAAAATTCATATTAAATATGCAAAATATGCAAATCCGGTGCCATAAGTATTTTACCGGCAATCAAAATCATACTTTTATAATATAATGTAGGACTAAATCTGTTTCAAGTGGTGAATCAATGAACTCGTCGTCACTCCTATCCTCACACCACTTGCCCTCTAAGACTGTAAGCTCCAGAAGTACCGTAAGTTTCTAAAATGTCAGACACTGTCTCACAGTATAAGTTATTAGCATAAAATGTTTATTTATTGTAAAATTAAACTTTGGTCCCAAAAGCATAAATTTCTATATATTTAACAATTCATAAAATAAAGAATATATTCTACAAAACAATTCATTAGAAATGACTTGATTTTGATTTGAAGAGTTTGCCACAACGACTAGTCAATCAAAATATACATTTAAAACACTTAAACAAACTGCTAATCAGTATTAATAAAAATAAAAGATCACACAATCAGTCATATATTAACCAAAACTAATTGATAACAAATATTATGTCTTCTTTCGCCGATGAATGGGTGACTTTGTGGGAGATTTAGCACAAGACTTGTCCACTCCTAAGAAGCGATAGAGATATGGCGGCCAATTGTTGGCCTTCTTCTCCGACTCGGGAATTCTCGTCGACTTTGAGTGAAGTTTTTGAAATATTTGCTCGAAATGATTGTCTGGGAATAACTGCTGAAGAATGCCTTCGAATAGCACTAAAACGAGTCGTCGGTTGAGGTTTTCGTGTTGAAACATCTCGAAGACACACATCAGGCCCTTACGACTCGTCTCACTGCCTATAATGCGCTTCAAGTCATCTGAAAACACAAGTCGTGTTATCTATGGATCAAGTTGTTTGTGAATGGCATTCATACCCGAAAGACTCGTCAGCAAAAGCATTTTGGCGGCCACTCTGGTCCTCATTTTGGTGCTCTGACTCCGAGGTGGGAGGGGTTGAGCCAACTGACCGCTCGGCCAAAACGAGTTCCTTATATAGGAATAAAACAAATTCATTTCACGAATCTATTTAAACTTCAAATCATTACTTAAAGGCTTTGATATAATCGGCAACCGATGGAGCACTGGTCAGGTCTTCGACGTAGTCAATGATTTTCTTGTTGATGGCGTCCCCGTATGTCATATGAATTATTTGTCTTAAAAACGTGACAATTCTTCGTCGCAGCCATAGGTTCTTATTCTTCAAATCAAACACTTCGTCCATTAATAACAACATAATTCTTAGCGGAATATTGTCTTCACTATCGATGTCTAGATTAGCCGACACTTTGGAGCTCTCGCTTGGATTAATTGTTTGCAACTTTGGGTTTTGGGCTTCATTTGGAAAATTAACTTTAAAACTACTTTTAGTGGACTGAAGAGGTTGTGATGGATTGGTGGACGTGAGTGAACTCATTCGACTCAACCGCTGCAAACCGTCTAAGAAATTACCGGAACTATTCTTCATCACATTTCCCACATTCATCACCGATGACTTCAATGGATTAAATATGGAGTTTTGGACACTTTTGGAGAACTGGAACTTTTCCTTCTCGTAGTTTCCGGGTCTGAAGAAGTGAAGCACTTGTTCTCTAAGATCTGGTCTCAATTTAGAGGTCTTAAGTAATTGATTTAAGTATGTGTTCAGCAAATGCTTCCTCTGCTCCAAAAACTCTTTATTCATATTATTGAAAGTTCTTTTGCCGGGAAGTGTTAGACTCTTTAGATTCGGGTATTTGTCAGTAATATTTTGATGAAATGAATGGAAGTCTGAATAACGTCTCAAAATAACCCACTTTTCTTCGGGCGAATTATTAGTCTTTTTGGTCACATTTATGACATAAGCGGCGTAAGCGTTGCCAAACTCACGGATGACACCTGTTTTGATGATCTCAGCGCTCATTTCCAGCTCTCCGGTCGCACACAAAGTAGTGTTGGAAGTGCTGTAACCAGACGTTGAGTTGGATGTGCCCGAACCCTCACTAGTAATGGATATATTATCGGATGCCAACACAATATCCTCCAGAGAGTTGAGACTATCGCAGTCATCAAATGTGATTGAATTGATAGAATTGGTGTCATTGTCGTCACACTTCGTCGATGGCTCACTGTCTTCCTCTGGTTTACAATTGAGTTCTTTGAGTAAATCAAGTTCTGCTAACAGTTTGATGTAATGATTACTCTTTTTAAAAGCACTGAAGAACTGGTCGTTATTCATCATAACATCATAGACCTGATGGTGAGCCGAATCGAACCAGTTTTCTGACAACTTTTCGGTCATAATTCTTGAGTGAATATTCTTACAAATAGTTTCATCTAATTTGAGTTTATGGGAAGCCTTTCCAGACAAATATGTGTCGTATATATTAACGGCCGCCTCTTTAAGACTTTCCAAATCAACTGATTTATAGGACTCCGATTTCCCAAGTTTTATGAGCTCTGCCTCCGATATCTGTTGTTCGGCCGACACTTTGAAGGCGTCGACATTCAAATAGAAGTACACGTATTCCTGAGCGCCGATACTTGACATGAATTCAATGAAATATGAGAGACCGATGCTGTTCTTCAATACCACATCAAATGGGAGTGAAAAGAGTTTCGTATTATTCCAATCGATTTGCTATTAACCGAAACACAGNATTCCTGAGCGCCGATACTTGACATGAATTCAATGAAATATGAGAGACCGATGCTGTTCTTCAATACCACATCAAATGGGAGTGAAAAGAGTTTCGTATTATTCCAATCGATTTGCTATTAACCGAAACACAGCAAAGTAAGCAAAATTGCAATCTAAGTGTACGCTAACTATTGTCAGTTTAAGCTTACGGTTGGAATTCCGTTGGAGTCCGAGTCAAAACTGCCCTCATTTACAGACTTCAGGCGACTTTCAATCAAATCCTTGACGAATAAAAGACTACTCAACTGTTGCTTGATTTCAAAGTCATCGTAGAGCGCCGATACTTGACATGAATTCAATGAAATATGAGAGACCGATGCTGTTCTTCAATACCACATCAAATGGGAGTGAAAAGAGTTTCGTATTATTCCAATCGATTTGCTATTAACCGAAACACAGGAAAGTAAGCAAGCAAAGTCAGCAAAATTGCAATCTAAGTGTACGCTAACTATTGTCAGTTTAAACAAATATGAGAATGCCAACCTTAAGGCAACCTCAGGCTCAGTTTTGACGGGAGTAAATGTCTGAAGTCCGCTGAAAGTTAGTTTAGGAACTGCTTATTTTCTGATGAGTTGACAACGAACTAAAGTTTCAGTAGCACTCCTCCGGTGTCCTAATCGTTGCAAACAATATCATTAATATAAGACAGACTCACATCTCAAATAACAAACAACTCGTACTTTGGAGCGAAGGAAAGCAATCTCGTGGTTAACCATTTGCCGGACGGCCTCCAACTCTTCGCTTTTATCACACAAACGCAATATATTAATGAATGTTAGCGAACTTTGCTCTATACTAAATATCTCGGTTTGTTAACAAACCAAATACTTCAGACCTAGCCTGTCGTAAAGGTCATTTCCTATATTTGTACTGAATTGTTGTTCAGGGATTTTTATTTTCTAAACCATTTCAACATTTAATACCCGGAATATTCAGTGACACCACAAGAATATTCAGTGACACCACAAGAATATTCAGTGACACCACAAGAATATAGTCAAACAAACCCTAAATAATGAACGAAAGGTTCGACTTTTAAAGCAATCGATTGGAAGTAATAAATATTGAAGAATAAGAATATTCAGTGACACCACAAGAATATTCAGTGACACCACAAGAATATAGTCAAACAAACCCTAAATAATGAACGAAAGGTTCGACTTTTAAAGCAATCGATTGGAAGTAATAAATATTGAAGAATATCACAGATTTGGGATAAATAGTCGGAACAGCTCTCATTGTCTTCACTGACCAAATCGCGGCAAATGTTTCGTTCCATCGATACTTCAAAGTCAAGCAATCGATTGGAAGTAATAAATATTGAAGAATATCACAGATTTGGGATAAATAGTCGGAACAGCTCTCATTGTCTTCACTGACCAAATCGCGGCAAATGTTTCGTTCCATCGATACTTCAAAGTCAAAGAATATCGACAATAGGTTTGCGTTCGGGTCTGAAGTGAACTCAAGTTAATTAAATGTTATCAAAGATGAATCAAATGTGACAAATGAGTGTCAAATACCGTTGACTTTAAGTTCTTTGAGTTTATTCTGTGCCAAACGATAAAGCCTTAAATGAGAGGCAAAATCATCGACTAATTTGGTTGTCATATATGACACGATATCCATTGAATGAAACCTTCAGTTCAAACATTAGGTTTAATTTCATAATTAAACAAATGCTACAAAAGTTAGACAGAAATGACAGAAACCTTTGAGTGACTGATTTGATGGCCAACTGAGCGATGGAGTAGAGATGAAGAGTATTGAGGACTAACCCGCTATGCTTACGTATGGTTCTCAAATATATTAGTGCTTTACGCTCAGCGTTCTGTAGCAAGTTGACCAGTAGTTATTCGCCTACTGGCCACTTCTGTAGCCGGAAACCGTCTCTGTGGACCACAGGATTGGCACTGAGATTATCCACGAATTCCTTCCACTCGTCATTTGAGTCAATCATTTGTATTGAATGACACGATTTGAAGATCTGGTAATCGCTTTGGACTGTCGGGTGGTTCACGTATAGAGAGGACAGGCATCTGATAATACAGTATATTATGAGATAATTGTGAATATAATGAAATACAAACCCAATGATAGCGAAGAGGATGGACGAGAAGGTAATGAGAAGTAATTGGAGTGAGAAAGTGGACACCAATAAGACAATAGTCAAGACAATCCATAGTAAGTCGGATACTCTCATCATTCATAGCATTCACTGAATTGACTGCAATAAGTGAAGTTAATCACCAATTCACAAACGGTAAGTAATATCGGCATTTATATGATTTTATTTCATAATACACTAAACATAATTATAAACCGTGAAAATAATACTTTAGTAAAAGTGACTTTTATATTTGAATAGTGTTAACAGTGTTAACGACTAATTAATTATAGTATTTATATAATAAGTCACACTCTTATCGATTCAGGTGTTTAGCGAATCGCATAATAACTATAATACTAATAATGAATGCTTTTGTAATTCATTACATGAATCATTGAGTCAATGTTATACACTTTTTATGTTTAAGTTTACGGTAGTCTATATTTCAAATATTTAATAATACAAACAATGAGTACATGGTATTACCTGTACTGTACAGGTATTATATAGCCTATTATAGCCTGCATATGATTGCATTCACTGTACGCCTACACTCACACCGTTCACAAATTCATTGAGTTCATTCAGGAGAATCCCTTTCCCTTTAAATTTGGAGCATTCAGTCAAATGTCAAATGTGTTTGTTATTAAGTTTCTAACTGTACAGTACAAGTTAGCATTTTAGCATGACTTTCAGTATGTGATGCCATTCACATACAATTTTATACACAAGTTTACAATCGTCACTATTCATGAATTTTACAATTTTCACATTTCATCACTTAAATGGACAATAAATTAGTAATTTTATTCAAAATCAATCAACATGTTACATTTGTTATAATTTTATTTTTAATAATTCAAACTTAAATATTATTACAGAAATAGTATTATATGATATAAAACCAATAGAAAATGTTTATCTATTACTGTTATATGAATTATTTGTATTAGTGTTTTGTCTCAAGACAAATATAGATAAAAATAAGAGTTATACAAAGCTGAGAACAAGAAGCACAAGCTCAGACTAGAGTCGCAGAAACTACCGGTGGCTGTGGACAAAGTACTATAAATTCTGTGAGAAGAGCAGTTTCACTTCGGCCTTCATTTTGGTTTCGATGAAATTCTCAATACTCTTAAGGAGTTCGATGTCGTATTGAGTGACAAATGTTATCGATTTCCCCAAATATTTAGACGACAACACTGTTTGACTCTTTTTGGGCTTCAAGTGATTACTTGAATCTCTTTTAAACTTTTTATTACTTTTTGGTCCATCGGTTCCATCGGTTCCATCATCTGCTTCTTCAACAGGAGTTTCACTTATTTGCGGAACTTTTGGAAGCGTTTTAAAGTCAGGTTTACGACAAGTTCTGCCGACTCTATGCACGTAAACGGTTGCAGATTTAGGACAGTTGTAGTTAATGATGAGATCCACTTGTGGTAAGTCGAGGCCCCGATTGGCCAAATCGGTTGTCACCAGAATTTTCGACTTCAGAGATCGAAACTTCTCGAGCGCTGCAAACCTCAGGTTTTGCTTCATATCGGCGTTAAGTATGACTGGATTTAGATTGAAATCCGATCGGTCGAGACCTAAAGAGATGAGCACTTTGTGGATCAGTTTCGCCTCTTTCTTCGTCGCACAGAATATAATCAACTGTCGGAACGAGAGGTCGAGAATGCATTCAATCAAATACACAAATTTCACCGATTCTGGACACAACACGTATCTCTGGTCGAGGTCTTCATTTGTGGCTAATTCTCGCTTCACGTCATCAATGGTTGGCAACAGATTCACGACAACCGGCTGTTCGCCCGAAGCCTTCTTTGCAATCAATTTTTGCAACTCTTCTAAAGCTGTCGTCAAAGTGGCGCTGAAGAGCAGTGTTTGTCTTCTGTGGTTAGTATTGGCGGACATGTCGTCCAAAAATGTGAGAATGTCTTTGATTTGTTGAGCGAATCCGGAGCTAATGAGTTGATCCGCTTCGTCGAGTACGAGACAATCAAACCTAAGGGACGCCTTATGTCCGCAAACGTCGAGAAAGTTGCGATTATAGAAGTGGTCGACCAGACGGCCGGGTGTGGCCACCACTACATTGGGTTTCCCGAACCACAAGCCCTGCGCTTCCTCGTGGTCTTCGCCGCCAATCACAAGCAGACTCTTCACGGCATGAGTGCTGGCCGTCAAGGCGACGATCATTTGGTTGATCTGATGGGCCAACTCACGAGTGGGCGATAGGATGAGCGCGAAGTAAGGCCTCGGATCACGAACCAAGAGCTCAATGATGGGCAACAGGAAGGCCAGTGTTTTGCCGCTACCGGTGCGGCTGCACCCAAACACGTCCAGCCGTCGCGACGATAGTATCAACGGAATGGTCTCGCATTGAATCCGAGAGGGATTCTGAATCCCCAATGTTTTCAACGCCTTCAGCAACCAATTGCTTAAACCTAACGATGAAAACGAGTCACTCATTGAAGACAATCAGTGGACAACTGATCCACAAATCAATTCAATGGACACACGATTTGATGCCAACACGCGTTGACTGCATGCGAGGGACTGTCCATACATTACGTGCTGAATGTGAATGTCGTGTGAATTGCATTGAGTGGTGAAGTGAAGACAATTTGCAGCAATGACTCAAAATCGGATCAAATATGCATCAAATCTGCAGAAATACTTTGTGTTCAACACTGAATGGGGCGCTGAGGAGGGCAGCGAACACTTGAAGATAATATATTACCACAAAAGCAATTGTCTGGATGTGAGCGTCGATGAGATGGTGGGTGAGTGCGGACTCGCGCAGGCGGTCATCACTTTCGCCAATAACTTCCACAAAGATAATCAAGACTTGTGTGAAGCTCTTCATGGCATCAAAAATCGATTAATCTTCTATCAAATGGAAACCAACTACTGGTCTGTGATCTCGCTATCGGTTCCCTATTCTGTGCTCAAGACTAACGAAGACTCGAATCAAATCATTGAATACCATAACGAAGAGATCAACGACTCGTTCGTGAAATTGATTTTACATAACATTTACCAACACTTCCGTCTCATCAACGGACCCATCGATAAGCTGTGGTCAAGTGTCAACGAAAACAGGGATCAGTTCTTAAACGTGTGCAACGCCTTCTTCGACAATATAATACCGTCGCTGAAGTTGTCGCCAATAAGTCTGATAGAAGTGTATTCCGCGATACAATACCTGCCATTGGATTCAATCACATTCATGTCCACCCAATCCTTCGTCAATCACGTCAAATGCATTGACTCTCAACTCATTCGCCACACAATGCTCTTATATAACGACCAATTGGTCAGCAGTTCTCTACCACTCAATGACACCAAAACTCTTTACAATTATTTAGTCAATGTTGTCATTCCGGACGCCGTGTGTGAGGAGATCAGTGGTCAGCAGTCGGTGAAGACTCGTTGGATTCGGCGAGACGTGAAGATATATCTCGAGGAATGTGAGCACCACTTCTATCGCATGAATTTGTACCGATCTATAAATGGCACCACTTTTGTGCTACTCCTGAGTCGCGACGACTCGCAAGTATTGGTTAAATGTGATGCTCTGATGTGCACTCGTATTGTGGGTCTGACCACCAAATTGGCCGAAATGGCCATCAAAATCAATGTGACCACAAGTGTGAGCAGTGATTCCGCGGCCAAAGAGGCCTTCAAATTCGTTTACTTCAATTCGAGTAACAATGCGTTCAAAGCAAACATTTCCTCACTTTTCGATCAAAGAAAGATCAGTGAATCAGAGTTTGTCAAACTTGTGGTCGATATCGATTCAGATCTCAATTCTGTCATCAAATGCAATAATGTCTGTGAAATCATCAGTAAGACAACGAACGACTCGTGGCTTATTGTCCACCACTCGCTACTATCCTGTGACAAGAGCTACAACTTGGTGTTTTTGCGATTAGAATAACTTCGGAGGCTATGTCACTTGCGTAACTGCACGTTTGTCAAATTCTTATAAAATAAACAACTAACTTAAGTATCAAAATTAATCGGAATTATTTGTTAGACTATTTTCATTGCAAAGTTATTAAGTTACATATTATTAAGTTTGTTAACTCAATTATTTATTAAATTAAATATAAACTTATATTTATAATTTCGTTTGTAATTTATTTTAATAAATTATTATAAGTACTGTAATATTAATCAAATAATTTTAAGGTAACATACGGTATTTTTTGTGTCAAAATTATTAATCATTAATATTTACGTATAATAGTCTAATAATTTGGGAACAATTAAGAGGTTTTGTTTTGATAACAAGTGAGTAAAACATAGCAATTAAAGGCAAGCCTCGGGACAATCTTTACATTCACAGGCATGACTGTCAGGAGCGGGAGATTCACTACAAGAATATACTTTTTCATTCATCGGATAAATTATATTGCCATTAATGTTGACAGTATTTTCTCGGATAAGCTTAACATCCATTTGAAATGGACTTTTGGGTGGCAAAGATTGCCTTTCAGGGTATTTAAGATCGGTAAAGACTCGGCTTGTTTCGAACTAAACAGGGGTGAAAGGCGTGTAACACAAGTATTATCACGGCAACTTATATCTAAACGTGCAATTATATAATCCATGTGCAAAATCATTATTTATATAATACTCCAAGTGTTCAATGAGTTCGTTGGGGCCCTGTTTTGTTGTATTCACTACTCTTAACATTTGATTCTGTTTTGGAGAACAAGTGAATTGACACAGAATTTGCTTTAAGTTGTGGATACAGGAGGGACACTGAGAGAGACCCAACTTTTCCAGTAATTTAAAGATTGAATTCATGCGATAAATAAAGCTCGTGTCACAGCATATATGGGGCACATCACTATCGACTAGTTGGGGACAAATGTTTTTTAATATTCTCAGAGAATTTCCATCCGTTAGTGGAACTGGTCTTCTGATCTTAAGACACGGAATATTCGAATATTGAGATTTGTATCTAAAAACAATGAAAGTATAAAACAAATAATGTGTTCATAAATTAAACCTAAACTTATTATAAAAAACATTATACTGTAAATACAGTACTTGCAAGTGGTATCCAAAATGCAATATTCATTCTCAGCGTATGTCTCGTAATCGGAAAACTGGTGGACAATATCATCCAAATAAATCTTGAAGCCTTCCATTTCTCGTGAATCTGTGGCTCTCTTAGTCTTCTTTCCTCTAAATTTAGGCATTTCTTTCTTAATGATTTTGGTCTCTCCCGGAGCACACGACCCATCGCAATGAATACAGGGACAGATACCTTCACCAGTATGTGGTTTGTCCGAACTAAACATCTTTGAAACGAATTGACCAAACATAACCTGAGGTAGACTACAATGGCAAAGAAGTAATCATTTCTGTTTTAAAGACTTTTCATATTTGTAAAAGTTAATTTAGTTCTTAGTTTAATAAATTTGACTTGTGTTCATAATTCTAAATTCCTAATCAGGGATAAAACAATCAAAGCCAATTTTCAATATAAAATGTATCCAGAACAATTTTTTATTTCAAAAACGTCTTAAATGAACTTAGTTTGTAAGCTTCTACATTTCTAACAATGTAAAAAAGTTTTGCATTACTGCCAAACTTTGTTTTAGAATCTAAAATTTAGATATTAATATTTGAGAATATAAAGTAATAGTTTTGGGTTTATTTTTACACTAAATTATATCACTATGAAATTATTTATAGGACTAGTTAATTAACAAACAAGATTGTATATTGGAATTGGATTGTAGATTGGACTTTATCAGAGAAATTTATAAAAACCATTGTGAATACAATAACACCTAGATCAATAAATAGTTGTGTTGTAATATTTTCAAGACAATCACTATAGACTTACATTTCGAAAGGGCTGTGACCATAATGTTCCGCATCTCCGCCAATGTATTGCAGAAATTTTTGATGATCACATTCAGCGGCTTTATATGGCTTACAGTAATGGTTGAGAACATTGGATCCCAAACGGTGTACACCTTTGCACGAGTCATATATACCTTTAACCCAATCGTCGTTTACATTCATAACATGAAGCCTATGGTATTCAAAAGGTCTAAGTAAACCACACCAAAATCAATAAGAGTATATTAATACAACTAGAGATGGTGTTCTGTTTACCGTTTACTAAAAGAGTTTCAACGCCTGTGAAGTCGGACATTCCTTTAAGAACATTGAAATCATTTCAAAGGTTTGGTTCAAACGAATCACTTGTTCTTCTGTACAGCAAACACTTGGGGTATCACTGGTTGCCAAATGGGGACACATTTCCTTCAGCTCTTCCAAAGCAATTGGGTTTGCGATAGGAGTGGGCTCTTCATCCGTCACACATGGAATCACACCAAACGCTGTTTCACCGCAAATACCTTTCATAAGACACTTCTCTGTATCTCTTTTGGTTCTCTTCACTTCAATATCTCTTTTCTTGTGATTATGACATGATTCGGGACAGTGATGGCAATCACAAGCATCCAAATCTTTATTTGCTTTTTCCGAACATTTAACATAAGATTCATTTAAGGACTCAAACGAATTGCTGCCAACTTTTGTAACTCCGTTAACCAAATGGAAATTTATTTTAAACGGAGAAATTCCCTCCTCTTCGATATGTCGGCCCAAATAGTTGAGCCAATCCTTTGCAGTGCATTCATCGCCTTTAAGTCCGTTACACATCGTGTCCATCACTTTCCCCTCGAAATTCCTGACATTTTTACACGAATCGAAAATCCCTTTGGCATACGATTCCGTTATATAGTAATCGATTTCAGTGGCAAAATGATCTCCCGATTCACTTCTTTTAATTTTCTTAACTTTTATGAATTTGTTTTGTTTCGGCGAACAATTCATTTCGCAAAACACTTTTTCGACATTTTTCAGACACGACGGACAGTGATTGAATCCCAAGTGCGCTAAGTTGTAGACAGTTATGAACATACTTTCCAATTGGAATTCATCGCAACACACATTTGGATTGGTTTGCTGATGAAAGTGCGGACACATGGCCTCCAACAGTGATAGCGAACGAAGATTCGCCTCATTTGGGGTCAGAATAATTGGATCGCTTTTGTTAGTACAGGGAATAGAACCCAATTCTGTGTCCCCACAGATGCCTCGCATAACACAAATACCTTCATTCTTTGGGATTATATTTTAATTTATTATTAAATATTTAAGTATTTAAAATTAAAATAAAAGTAATATTTTAACCAAATATAGGTTTAAATAGTTGAAGTTACCTGAGAATAAGCTGAAGATATAAAAATAATATTAACTAGTAGTATGTAAAAAGTTTTATTGTATTTAAATCCCATTTTGATTAAAATCTCAAAACTTATAATTATTTTTAAAATCTTATAGACTACAGATATATTTTAAGAAATTTTAGTTTAACTCAAGACAATTGACAAATCAGTGGATTACTTTTAGTGTAAAGATGCTTTAAAGGAAATGTTTAATTTAAGTCAATTTGTTGTCAATAAGAAATGATTTAAAATGAAAAGTAATTCGTGATGAAATCCATTAAAAAGCATTTTATATGACAATTACCATCAATTCAATAGTTTTATTCTCAATAATTATGAAACTTACTACACCTGTAGACTTGTTAAAGTCCTTGAGAACTCATTTGTTTAAAACTTTGCAGTCAACAATTATTATTAATATTAGTCACTTCACACATCATTTGAGTTCACATTTAATTATACAGTACTTTGAAAAAATTCGTGGTAAATAAAAGTGATTAACTCACTGTAGAATAGACTCATCAAAATTGATTAGATTTTTATTTACAATTGAAACTTCAAACAAATAAGTTTACAAATCTATAAAATAATGATTTACTTTCTAAACTATGGCTTCATAACAAACACGTATTTAACTCCAGCAAAACCAGCCATTGTTTTGTTGATGGCGTCCTTATACTCATCCAAACCGATGGCCACACTCTTCGGTGACTCCAGTTTTCCAGTCTTTATAAGAGAACACAAATACTTCAACATTAACGCCCTTTCGTTGTTTCCTGTGTTGTCTCGATACCAACGGGTCATCCAATAGCCGAAAAACTTTTGGTCTTTGAATATGAGGGCACCGGTGGGTATAATAACCGGTTGTTTAGACATTCCTCCGTAGGTAACCATTGCTCCATTCGAGTCCAAGTGTCGCATACAATCCGTTGCATTCTTACCGCCCACACAGTTGAGGGCTAATCGAGGTTTCGGGATATTCTTAAACACACTGTCCATCACATCCTTTTGCCGCAACTCCTCTTCAGTGATCACATGAGTTGCGCCCAAAGACACCAATTTGTGTTTGAGTTCTGCGAAGTCAGGCCTCTGTCGGATCACATTAATTGTGTTGATTTGCCACTCTTTGGCCAATTGGATGGCATAGACGCCAACCGCACTGTTGGCGCCGTTCTGGATGACTGTATCGCCTGAAATGCAATCGATTTGATCCATAAACTCATTGTCGACTAAACAGTAAAACAAACCTTTAGTTAAAGGTATGAAATCTTTGAGCATCCGATAGGCTGTACACGGATTGACAGTGAGTTGAGCGGCCGTTAAGACATCGATATCGGGATCAATGATAATGAGATCCTTCTCGGGAAGGATGGCGTGTGTCCTCCACGTGCCCGTCGACGACGAGCTGGGAATCACTCGATCGCCTTCTTTGACGGCTTTCACGTCAGACCCGATGCCCACCACTCGCGCCACCCCTTCGTTGCCTCCGACGGCCGGCAGTTGGGGTTTGACTGCATATACCCCTTGAATTGTGTTGATATCAGCCGGGTTTACAGGACTCGCCAGATATGACACCTTCACCTCATGAGCCTTCAAAGGGCGCGACGTTTTCGAGCTTATGTCACACTTCTTGAGCACTTGGATGGGATCGCCGTACTCTTCGTACACGAGTCCATAGTTTGTGGACAACGACAACAGTCTCTTACCATTGAGTCCAATGTAATTAAATTTGGCAAATAATTGTTTGGCAAACATTTGCACCGATTTATGACAATTTATGGCAATTCAATCAATGTTAAACTGTGCAAGCTTAAAGTTTTGTTTACATACAATGCGCATGTGTTGAGTCACATGTTTGTCTCATTCATGTACTTCACTGTCAATTAACTGTCAATTAATTGTCATTCAATTCATTTCAATCTCATTTGCATTGCATTTATCGTAATCTCTAGTAATAAGCGGTGTTTTAATCAATAGTCAATTAATTGGGTTATTGTGTATCGCATAAGACATAGATCGGTGGTGTCTTGTATTCACTTTGAGAGCCATTTAAGAAATCTGATGCAATGTCTGCTACAAGTGATCCGAAAGCCATTGCCGGCAAAGAGGAGAGTCCTGTGAAGCCGACCGAGAAGTTGAAGCCGTGCTGTGCCTGTCCTGAGACCAAGAAACCCAGGGATGAGTGGTATGTCCCAGTCATTGCTTTCAATCATGTATTACTATACCGGTGCTGTAGTAATGTACCGTAATTACTCACAATTAAGTACTGTACTGTATATTAATATCGGCTACCGGTGCTAATAACTTATACCTGTAAGGCTTACGGCATAAGCACCGGTACGTAATTTAAGTGTATATATGTTGTTAATGTTAGTTGATTGTGGAGTGGCAGGGTAATACTTACACTCCACTCATACTGTATAAAGTTTAGACCCTCTAAATTGATTGCCATTATTTGAACTTAGATTAACCAGTATATTGTGCGTACAGTACAGAGTATTTAATTAAATGAATGAATACTTTTCACTTTGAAATAATAATAATTTTATTGAATTCATTGATTGATTGACAGTATTATCGAAAGGGGAGAAGAAAACTGCAGAGAACTCATTGAAGCACATAAGGAGTGTATGAGAAGTCTTGGGTTCAAAATATAGTCAATTAATGTAAATCTAATGTTTTTAAATTCATTAAAAACTAAATCATTTGATGTTTAAATGAATAGAAGTTTAGTTTAATTAATAAAAAGAGTAAACAATGAGTAAAATAGTCAATAAAATCAATTGTTTGAAGGCTTAGCCCATTCGACGTTTAGTATAAGATTGGCGTAACCGTAGCCGTGAACGGAACCGATGGCTTTGGCGGCCTCCTCCCGGTGCTCGTAACTAACGAACGCGAATCCCTTCGACTGACCCGTGTATTTGTCTTTCGCTAAGAATATTCGCGTCACTCTTCCAAAGGGGCCGAAGAGGTCCTTCAAGTCCTGGTCCTGAATCTCTTCGGGAAGATTCGTCACCCGAATAGTGTTGGCCTCGTCTTTGTTGCGCGCATTGGTCATCGTTTCGCCCCTTTTGTTGCCGCCCTCTCTCATGTTCGGCGGCACGTATTTGGCAGGCTTTCCCTTCTCGTCCATCTGTACGGCCAACCAATGGGTCACACAATCAGTCAATCAGTCATACATTCGCAACAATCATCACAATCAGCGCATTGTTTACCTGAGTTCCAGCACCTGATGGTTCTGGAGGTGGTGTGTCTTTGTTGAGCGACAGTGACCCCAACTTGTCCTTATAGGGACACTTCAGTGACCAATGATCCATTCCGCAGTGTCTGCACTGAACCATCCCTTTGCCACTGCTCTGCAACTTCTTCAGCGCGTCGTCCTCTCCATCCATACCGTTGTTCTGGTCGTCGTTTCCGAGGTTTCCGACGAATTGCATGAAAATGTCTTCCGATATGATAGTCGTCGCGGGATTAGGTCCGGGCGGGTCTTCGCCAGACATCCCGAACTTCTTCCAGTTCTTCCGGCGGGCGATACTCTGCGGAACTCTTCTCTTCTCGATCTTATAATAACGAATCACTTTTACTTTCTTCCCGTTTTCGTTCAGCTTGTATTCAGTGATCACTTTACTGTCACCGGAGATCACTTCTGTGGTCGCCGGCAGTGTATCGAACCCGTCATCCATCGGGTCGTCCATCTGGTCCGCCCACGAGGGCTTCACTTTCGTATCCATGTCTTTCACGGCAGGCATACGGCGCTCAACGCACGGGTTATGAGATATTGGATCAGTTCACTGATATGGACACCAATTGTCGACACAATCAACAGATCTTCACTCGAGTCGACACAAAACGTGGCGTTGTTTTACTCAATGGAAATGAATTACGTCTTCAGATTCCTGTGAAATGATGCCTCGTTTCGATGTAGGGTTCGCCCACTGGAAGGGGTCCTACAATACTCCCATCAAATATAGTGGAGTTCCCGTTGAACCCAAAATATTGCAAAAGTTAATCATACATATTGTAGCCATTCAATGATTGTCATAATATAACTACTTTGACAACTTAAGTGTATTTAATTTTAATTTCTAATACTTTACAAATAGATTCAAACACTCCCTCCGCCCTCAAGAATATTGTATAGCATATGGATATATAAAGCAGTGATGTATACAGTATTGTAATGAGAATGAGTCACACAATTGAGTGAAACATTGGATGCATTGTGAATGCGCTCTACTGGTAGCGCCTCTGGTGTGAGAATAGCCTACAATAGTGTGAATAGTATTGAAATTGTGTGACGAATGGGTGGATGGCGTGAGTGTCGCACAGATGTGTGGCATTTGAGCGCACGGTTTGGCACTTTGGAAACGATTGCATTGGTGTTGAAGTGAGTGTTGGAGTGACTGTTAGAGTGAGTGTTTGTGAGAGACATTGAACAGTGGTATAGATGTGATAGAGTGGTGACGCCATTGTCTGCTCAGTGGCCGATCATGTCCTCCATCGACGCCAATGAGTGTAATATCAAAGTGGTGTGTCGTTTCAGACCACTCAATGACTCGGAAGAGAGGGCCGGATCCAAGTTTATCGTGAAGTACCCGCAAAACACTGAGGACTGTGTCTCCATTGGGGTAATGCTATGCTATTGCTATGCCTTTACTACTGTATTGCATACCTGTCTGACAGTTGTGTTTATCACTACAACTGACTCACAATTGTGCGAAAAGTTGACAAAACTTTTCAAATCAGATGCCATTTATGTGTTAGTCATAGGCATTGAGTGCTAATCTGATTAATGCCTGTTGTGTGGCCTATAAGTGCTAATTGTTTGCATAAATGGGTGATGTTTTGATAATGAATGGGTGAGTGTTGGTGTTGTTGGTGATGGTATCCCAGGTCTGTCTCCCAGTCACCACTGGTTGTCTCAACGCTCTGTTAGCTCTGCGCTACAGATAATGGATTCACGCCTCAGATCTCGTTTTAATAATAAGTGCCAAAACGGGTCATGAAACTCATAATTAGCCCTATTTTCGCGATTCTCTATTATTGCCTACTCTATGATGTCTTGTGTCTACTACAGATAATGGATTCACGCCTCAGATCTCGTTTTAATAATAAGTGCCAAAACGGGTCATGAAACTCATAATTAGCCCTATTTTCGCGATTCTCTATTATTGCCTACTCTATGATGTCTTGTGTCTAAATATTCATATCTAATGATAGACTTAAGTTACTATAGTATAAAGTATAGTACAGTATATTGTAGTGACTAATGACTTATAAAAATGATGCAAATGATTAGCATTTGAATAGTTGGTAAGGGGTTTGGCAGCGCTTATGAGATAAACATATATTTGAGTGGACTGGTAGTCCAAACGGAAAACACTGTAATATTCATAACAAATACACATTTATATATAGCGAGCAAATATGATATATGATATCTAATAGCAATGTACTGTATGTGACTTTAGGGCAAAGTGTATGTCTTCGACAAAGTCTTTAAACCGAACGCATCCCAGGAGAAGGTGTACAGTGAGGCCGCACAGGCCATCGTGAAAGACGTTTTGGGCGGATATAATGGAACCATCTTTGCTTACGGACAGACCTCGTCCGGCAAAACACATACCATGGAAGGCGTGTTGGGCGACACTCTCCTGCAGGGAATCATTCCCCGCATTGTCAGCGATATATTCAACTATATCTACTCCATGGACGAGGCCATCGAGTTTCATATCAAAGTCTGTTCATTCAATACTGCCGTACATTCAGTGCATTATTATTCAATTGACCACTCATTACAGGTTTCCTATTTTGAGATTTACATGGATAAGATTCGTGATCTACTCGATGGTACGTTTGTTGCAATCACTCACGGTGCTATTGATTCATGAATTGATTTGTGGTTTAGTATCAAAAGTGAATCTTTCCGTTCACGAGGACAAGAATCGGTGCACTTTTGTGAAGGGAGCGACTGAACGGTTTGTCACGTGTCCTGAAGAGGTGATGGAAGTGATAGATGAAGGAAAGGCTAACCGTCACATCGCTGTCACGAGTATGTGCTTTAGAGATGTGTACAAATGGACAAACAGCTAATTGTTTTGTTTGAAACTTCAGATATGAACGAACATTCGTCTCGAAGTCATTCTGTGTTCTTAATTAACGTAAAGCAAGAGAATCAGGAGAACCAGAAGAAGTTGACGGGAAAGTTGTATTTAGTAGATCTCGCGGGTTCTGAGAAGGTATGACTCCATCAGCTCATCTCTCTTTGATTGCTAATTGAATGCATTTCTTGACAACAGGTGAGCAAAACGGGCGCCGAGGGAATGGTCTTAGACGAGGCCAAGAATATAAATAAGTCATTGTCAGCCTTAGGGAACGTCATATCGGCACTGGCCGACGGAAATGTATGTCATGAATATTGAGTGAATGAGACCCTGATTGTGTTTGTCTGAGCAGAAGTCACACATACCATATCGTGATAGTAAGCTGACGCGTATATTACAAGAATCATTGGGCGGCAACTCGAGGACAACGATCATAATCTGCTGCTCTCCGGCCTCTTTCAACGAAATGGAAACCAAATCAACTCTTGAGTTCGGAAAGAGAGCCAAGACTATTAAGAATGTGGTTATAGTTAATGAAGAGTTGACTGCAGAGGAATGGAAGAGGCGTTACGAAAGAGAGAAAGAGAAAGTGAATCGCCTTAAGAGTCAGATATCGAGACTCGAACTCGAAGTGAACCGCTGGAGAGGCGGAGAGAGTGTACCGCTTGAAGATCAGGCGAACCTCAAGGACTTGGAGGCCAGTACTCTGAGTTTGTCTGAATCCGTACAGAACTTGAGTGCAGTGACGGGTCCCGTGTCTACGGAGACACACATTTCTCATATGATTACCTCTGAGCCCATGAGTAATGAGGAGAGAATGAAGTTCGAAGAGGAGAGGACTCGACTCTACGCCCAATTGGATGAGAAGGACGACGAGATCGACAAATACAGCCAACACCTCGAGAAACTCAAGGAGCAAGTGGTCGAACAGGAAGAGCTGATCTCCTCATCGCGAAGGGATAACGAACTCTTGCAACAGGAGACGACTCGTATTCAACAAGAAAACGAATCCGCAAAAGAAGAGGTGAAGGAAGTGTTGCAGGCGTTGGAAGAATTAGCCGTTAATTATGACCAGAAATCGCAAGAAGTCGAGTCTCGGAATCGAGAGTTTGAGACTTTGAGTGAAGATCTGAATACGAAATTAAGTTCATTGAATAGCACTCAATCGGAATTACAGCAAATGAAAGAACAAAGCCTTCATCAGAGGAAACGCCTGAACGAAATGCTCACTAATCTAATGAAAGACTTGGGAGAAGTTGGCATCATTTTGGGGGCCAATCCGAGCTCTGTTATCGGCGAACTCAAAGTGGCCGGAGATAGCAATAAGATGGAGGACGAGTTCACTGTCGCCCGACTCTACATCAGCAAAATGAAGAGTGAGGTCAAGGCATTGACTTCGGTATGCATTACTCTCGCCGTTTGATTCATTAGTTGATCACTAATTGTATTGTTTTTTATCATTCAAAGCGTACGCAACAAATGGAAAGCCTTCAGACGACTTGCAATAAGAAGATTGAATCCCACGAAAAAGAATTAGCCGAATGTCGTCTTCTCATCAGTCAATACGAAGCGAAGATGAAGTCTTTACAGGAGTCGATGCGTGACGTCGAGAACAAGAAGCGTTCGCTCGAAGAGGCTGTCGATCAGCTGAACGAAGAGTGCACTAAACTAAAGGCCGCCGAAGAGATGCACGACGTGACCAACAAAGAGAAGCAGAAGGAGAAGGATTCGGTCGAGAAGATGAAGAATGCGTTGGAACAGCAGATCGAGAAGCACAGAGAGAACCATCAAAAGCAGTTATCGGCGCTCAGGGATGAGATCGCAGAGAAACAGTCACTCATTGATCAACTGAAGGACGCGAATCAAAAGCTTACGTTAGCTCAGGAGAGGCTTCAACAGGAATACGATAAACTCAAGACTGAAGAGCAGGAGAAGAGCGTCAAACTCCAGGAAATGACTTCATTGAACGACAGGCGCGAACAGGCCCGACAAGACCTCAAGGGTCTCGAAGAGACGGTCGCCAAGGAGTTGCAAACACTTCATAATCTCAGGAAACTATTCGTTTCCGATCTTCAATCTAGAGTTAAGAAGTCGGCCGCAGGAGAGGAGACGGAAGACTCGGCCAATTCTGGCGGTTCTGTCGCTCAGAAGCAAAAGATTTCATTCTTAGAGAACAATTTGGATCAGTTGACCAAAGTTCACAAACAGGTATTTGTCATCAATTAAAGTTGTTTTTTGTAAATGTGGTTTGCATTGACCACGAACGCTATACCACTCGCTTCCGATTTATGTATTCATGAATGTGTTGACACACACAGTGTATGCGTCACACGAATAGCCACGTCTAGCGTTAGACTGTTATTATGAACACTGCTATTAAACACAATTCGTATGACACTAGACGTGGCTATTCGTGTGACGCATACACTGTGTGTGTCAACACATTCATGAATACATAAATCGGGACGTTGTCTTAGAGGAGCCCTTTTACGGCAAACATACTGCGAGTGGTATAGCGGCAGTGGTATAGCGGCAGTGGTCAATGCAAACCACATTTACAAAAAACAACAACTTTATCAGTAATCTGTTAATGTTTTACTCGATTATATGTAACATTTGTTTGATTGACTCACAGCTGGTTCGCGATAACGCAGACCTTCGGTGCGAACTTCCGAAACTTGAAAAGAGATTACGCGCCACAATGGAGAGGGTTAAGGCTCTGGAGGGCGCTCTTAAGGAAGCCAAAGAGTCGGCGATGAAGGATAGGAAGCGATACCAATACGAAGTCGACAGAATCAAAGAAGCCGTCCGTCAGAAGAACTTAGCGCGAAGGGGACACATGGCTCAGATAGGTCTGGCCACGAACCACACACTCTATTACTGTATTATTGTAACCGTTTGTCTATTCGTGAAACAGTGAAACCTATCAGAGCTGGTGGTGGCGGTGTAGCCGGCAATAGGAACGCAGTGAACGCCAACATCCAGAATAACAATGTCGTCCGACCCGTCTCACGGAACCCTCAGCAGCGTAACACCAATAGAGGTACTGTACTCTCAATTCTGTGCCATTCATTTGACTCATTTTGCATTCATTTAACTCATTTTGCATTCATTTCCATTACAGATATAATGGACAACTGATAACTCTTTATAGTAATTATAGTAATAATACGACAACTGATTGTTTTAATGAGATTTTCAACTCTTTTTACTCTTATTAAATATATTATATCTTTTAATAATAAAAAGATTTTATCATTTATTTATAAACTGTTTTGCAGTGCAATAGTACTGACACTCAAATCAAATTAAAATATATTGTATTATATATTTAACTATTTTAAAAGCTTTAATTTAAATACAATTTTATGTTTCTTTGAATAATAAACTGTATATAAAATATAAACCTTTTATTCATTATTTCAACAAACGTAACAAAATTATCAACAAAACAGAGATTACAGGAAATATTAAGATAACAGTAAATAGAGAGGAATTTCCTTCAGATATCAATAATTAAATTCATTTAAAAATATAGTTTCATATAATTATGTTTTGATAAAAAAAATAAAACCTAAATAATAACTCTAAATATAATCTCGTAATAGAATTAAAAAGGATTACCGGTAATACAAATCTGACGGTACATGTAATGCTAGATATACCGGTAGAAAAATTATCGCTACATTTAATTAATGACTACATTTGGCAAACCATTTGAATCAACGGCTCTTATTGGGAATATTGCATTGCAGTCATCACTTGAGACATTATTAATCCATCAGAAAATTACAGTAAGTAATCAATAGTTTTAAATGTCAAACACAACCGTTGATCAGTTCTTCTGACTCTGTCTTTCATTTAAATCCTTTTGAATCACTTCGAGGACATGGAGTGCCGCCACAGGAATACGAGTTCCTATAATCACACAAAACATTAACTTAATGTTTATGAATAGTATTAATATAATAAATGGCAAACCGGGGCCAAAAATAGCAGCGGCGCCCTTGTCGTAGAGAAATTGGTAGTCCTGTGGAGGTATGACCCCTCCGACCACTATTTTTATTTCCCTTTTAATAAGATATTCATTATTGAATAAACTGCTGAAACAACTATAGGACGAGTCTTACGGTCGGCCCATCTTTGTGAGCGCCTCTGAAAGCATAGGAACGAGCGTTCGGTGTCCGGCCGCCTGACTGCTGACCCCAACGCAGTGAACGTCCGCATCAATCGCCTGTTGAGCCACTTCTTCGGGTGTTTGAAAGAGTGGTCCCAAATCGACATCAAAGCCGACATCAGCGAAGCCGGTGGCGATCACTTTGGCGCCCCTGTCGTGGCCGTCCTGACCCATCTTTGCCACCAGAATGCGAGGCCGTCTTCCCTCAAACTCTTCGAATTCCTTGATTTTTCTCTGAATTGCTTTCAATTCGTCTAATTGACTGTAAGCTGAAAAGTAAGCGCCGCTCACGAGTCGGTCTGCGGCCACATATCTGCCAAAAGCCTTTTCCATTGCCATTGATATCTCTCCTAAAGTCGCCCTACTTTTGGCGCATTCAATAGCTTTGGCTAAAACATTGCCATCACTTTCTGAAGCATTTGTCAATTCTTGCAAACACTGATTGACTCGATTTGAATCACGAGTTGCTTTGATTTGATTAATCTTAGAGATCTGTGTCTCGCGAACCACTTTGTTGTCGACCACAAGTACTTCGACCGGATCCTCCTTTTCGAGCCGATACTTATTGACGCCAACAATCACTTCTTTGCCGGAATCAATGGCCGCCTGTTTCTGTGCCGCGCACTCCTCTATCTTTAATTTAGGCATTCCTTCGGCAACCGCTTTAGCCATCCCTCCCAAGGCCTCGACCTCATCGATAAGCTTCAGCGCCTCCCTATACATCTCATCGGTGAGCGCTTCCATCATATAAGAGCCGCCCCACGGGTCGATCACTCGAGGGATTCCCGTCTCTTCCTGGATAATAATCTGAGTATTTCTGGCAATTCTTGCGCTGAATCGCGAGGGAAGAGCCAACGCCTCATCGAATGCGTTCGTATGCAGCGATTGAGTGCCACCGAAGACAGCAGCCATGGCTTCGACAGTCGTGCGGACGATGTTGTTGTACGGGTCCTGTTCTGTCTGAGACCAGCCAGAGGTCTGGCAGTGAGTCCTTAACATACATGACTTGATGTCTTTGGGATTGAAGTGCTTTGTGATGAGATGAGCCCATAGTCTGCGAGCGGCTCTCATTTTGGCGATTTCCAGATAAAAGTTCATTCCTATGCCCCAAAAGAAGGACAGTCGCGGCGCAAACTCATCGATAGTAAGACCCGCTTTAATACCCGTCCGACAGTACTCTATGCCATCGGCTATAGTGAAGGCCAGTTCGATGACAGGCGTAGCGCCGGCCTCTTGCATATGATAACCGGATATTGAAATTGTGTTAAATTTGGGCATATTTTTCGAGACATAGGCGAAGATATCGCCGATTATTCGCATCGAATGGTGCGGCGGATAGATGTATGTGTTCCGCACCATAAACTCCTTGAGGATATCGTTCTGAATGGTTCCGGACAACAGCTTCTGTTGAACGCCCGCCTCCTCTGCGGCCACGATATAGAAGGCCATCACAGGAATCACCGCTCCGTTCATTGTCATCGAGACCGACATTTTGCTCAAATCGATGCCATCGAACAGCGCCTTCATGTCATCCACGGAATCGATGGCCACTCCGGCCATTCCCACGTCTCCCTGGACTCGCACGTCGTCGCTGTCATACCCCCTATGAGTGGCCAAATCAAAGGCGACGGACAGTCCCTGTTGTCCTGCTTTTATGTTTTCTCTGTAAAACTTATTGCTTTCCTCAACAGTACTGAATCCCGCGTATTGTCTGATAGTCCACGGCTTCTGGGCATACATTGTCGGGTACGGCCCGCGGGTGAACGGGTACTGCCCCGGGATCTCCCCCTTCGCCCACTCGTCCACATCGTCCGCCAAATACATGGGCAGCACTTCGATGCCATCGTTCGTCCTGTGGATCAACTCATCGCTACTCTTGCCTTTCATCTGCTTTTGTGCCAATGATTTCCACTCGTCTTTCAGTGTCGTTGACGACAATGGACGCCATCCGGTGCCGCAGCTGTATCTGTGGACCAGTTGTCCCAAACTCTGTCCAAACTTCCGTCCAATCATTTGTTCAGCAATTTATGGCTTTTACTGCTATTTTGATGTCAGATATGAGTGAAACTGTTGACAACTTTCTCAACAAAAGTCTTAAACAAGTGAAGGAAGTGTTGATTAAGTCATGGACTCATTGAACGCATAACTGATTGCAATGCAAATCAAATGAATGACTCATTCGTGGCTTAAATGCTCTGCGAATTGAATATATTTTTATGATTTTTGTGAAAAACAACTAAAAATCAAATAAAATCCAAAGTCTTAAGCAATACCTGTAGTGACGTCACAATCTATGGCACAATCCCTGGGATTGGTTGCCGTGAGTCACGTGACTGAACCATAAACTCAAAAATAGATGCTTTTGTTACAGACGTCAACACAAATGAAAGCCTAAGTTATGTAACACTCGAACACAGACTGAGTTGTGGTGTGTTTGGCGTCAACTGTATGTCTGAATGGAAAGCATTTGTGCGCTAAATGTGTGTCAAAACAATACAGTTGTGTATATTTGGTATGAAATGCAAAACAGAAAGCAATGACTGAATGAATGAATGAATGAACGACTGATTGAGTGTTTGAGTGAATGTCTCCCATAATAGCACTCAATATAACAGTTTTATGTTTACAAACATTTGCAACACTTTTAGTATTTATTTCTATTTATTAATCATTTGATAAAAATCTATATTTAATGGAAATCCTCAGCAATGAAGACATGAATGACATGAAAGACTTGAATATCTATGACATGAACGACTCGAGTGTAGTGAATGTGTCTTTGAACGAGTCTTCAGTCGTCCAATTGAACCAAACTCTACGACAACGCGAGACTCTGATCCGGAGGTTGAGTGAGAAACTCGAGACCACTCTCAAGAGTCGCGACCACATCTCGCAGACCGCCGAATGCATGGCGAAACAGATCCAAGAGCTCAGGGATCAGCTCAAGTCCATGTCCACATCACTGCTGCACAGAGCAGTTGATGGACAGACAGCCACTCTCGTGGACTTCGAGTGCCAAACCGAATGGACTGAAGACAACTCCATGGAAGAGCCGCGAAGACTCAGCCAATCGATGATATCTGTGGACACGGTTCCCGCCGCTCTCAAGACNGTTGATGGACAGACAGCCACTCTCGTGGACTTCGAGTGCCAAACCGAATGGACTGAAGACAACTCCATGGAAGAGCCGCGAAGACTCAGCCAATCGATGATATCTGTGGACACGGTTCCCGCCGCTCTCAAGACATTGAGTTCTGTCAATGACACCACTTTTATGTGCGATAACTCACTGCAAATGGACATTGATTTGCATCTGAAGTGCAAACAAGACTTAGAGAGACTTGAGTACAATCTGATGGTTGAGTTCAATGAACGCGAGAAACGCATTGAATCCACTCTTGAGGAACAAGTGAATCAATTGCAGCAACAGATGGTAAGCGATCGCCACTCATATCTGGACACCAATAAGAGATTGGATGCAGAAATCGATCGCTTGAAGTCATATATCACTGAATTAGAAGACAAACAAAGGTTACGGAAAAGCAGTGAAGAGAAAGGTCTCGCCGATCACGACATCGAAAGGTATAAATCGGTGCGAAATGAGTCTTCCTCTCCATTATCACCGAATTCGCCATTTCTTCAAAACGATTTGCACTCGACATCCCGTTCACCGATCTTTCAAACTCTTCAGAAGTATGTCTTTTTAATCTTTTGTATCCAACTTTGGGTCTTACCGTAACTGTCACTTGAATTGTAATCACATTTTACTTGATCTTTCATTTCCTCACCATTTGTTCCCTTTATTTCCCACTTTAAGTCACAATCGATTGATTTTCACGTTTTATTTTCCATTAAATTATGTTTGATTTGAATTATTTTATGATTTAATTTGGTCCCGAAGTTGTAATAATTGGTCTCACAGTCATCCACCATATAGTGCACCGACACATGAGTCCGAGATTGAGAACATTGAGTGAGTCTTATTTTGGCCGCAATTTTGTGCTATTTATCACTTGTTTTAAGTGATAATGTGTTTTGAATGTTGACTGCGTTTGGTTTGCCTGTGCATGAGATTGATTACATAAATATGATAATAGTTTTGGCGTAGAGTATCATAGTTTGGGCTTTAAATGGTGTCAGTTTTCATTGCTTTTAAAAATCAGTTTTAAAAGCGAAAAACTATAACATTATTTGCTTTGATAGATATGTGGCACAAACGCCTGTCGAGAACTCCAGACTTCTTCATGTGTTATCAGATTTAGTAAAGACTTTCATTGATACCGAACACGACATCCAAAAGCATTTAATAGATATGGGAATTGAGAACAAAGTGACAAATAAAGAGGAATTACTGCAGAGTTTTGTTTCCCTTAATGAAGACATCAATGAAAGACTTGAGGAAACGAATGAGTTGTGCGAAGACGGACCAGATTTGACGCCCCATTCAAATGCAATCTATTATACGCCTCCTTCGGGTCATAATAATGAGGTTGAGATGGAGGAGGACGTAGTTTTAGGCGCCAGTAGACGACTCCGCACTGCTGTCGACCGGATCCTGAAGTTGTTGAGTGAGATCGTGTCCACACAACACGAACATGACTTCAGTTCTGTGGCCAAGAAGAATGAGGAACTCCTGTCAGAACTGAACGAAGAGTGTGTCCGACGCAACAAATTGACGGCACAGTTGTTGCAAATCGAGGATCGCGTGAAATCTCTTGAGAAAGAGAAGACATCCCTTTCTGACAAACTTATTGATTACAACGAAATGAAGAGACAATTGGAGACAACGAGGGCTAAGATGAATGAGTATGAGTTGGAACGCGACAAATGGCTTAATGACAACAAACGTC